CTCTACTTTCATTTACTGTCCCTGTCTCCATCTGTTGGACTTAGTGGACCTACAAAGGGCTTTGTTTCAGCAAGCTGGCACGTCTTTGGGACAGCACCGCGCACCCTGACGTTCATTGCTAAGTTGCTGTCATCAACTGTCATTTAACTGCCCCGGTTGCACCTGGCAGAGGGACATTAGTGTAAAAGTCTATGTCCCTCGAAAGGAGGGGTCGTAAACTAAAATTAGCTGGGGGGCCACTGCTGCCACCACAAGGACCAGATTATATTAGAATTACCATCCAGTCACGAGCTGAATGTCCACAGATCATGGACCAGAGGTGGCCCACAAGCCGGGAGTTTGATACCCCTGATGTTTATGCATCATGGGCTGGAAGTGACCCAGATGGGCTATGGTTTGAGACTCTGCCCTAAACACAGATACCCACAAGATTATATTCCATTGACACATTTGTGTGGTCCAGATGTGCGTTAATTGTGGGCCAGCAAAGGGCCCACAGGCCGGGAGTTTGGGACACCTGCTCTGAAAATACCCCCGAGAGCTTAAAAAAAAAGATCAAACATCCTCCTGACAGACAAAAGGAACAAATATTTCTGTCACAAAACAAACAAAATCCATAAGAATATTGTGAGTTTTTCAGAATATTTTTGACACGTTTTATGAAAAAAAATAAAATGCAGGAGCGCCCATTGATTTCTGCCTCCTGTGCTGTGATGTGTTGCTTGTACAGTGCAACCTGCTACTTAGCAGTGTAGTGGCCTGTAGTCATCAATTCAGAATAGCTTCAACAATTCAATAAGTCACAGAGAGCTACAGAACATGCACGACTACTCAAGATGATGAGAACGGCACGACTGGACCAACGAACTCAGCCCCGTGGTGTTTTCCTACATCTGCTGTCGCGCGGGAGTTATCAGAGAGATCTGCGTGTCTATATGTTAATATCAGGGGCACATTTTCATGAGAGAATATTCAAAAATAGCTCGCCCTGTTAGGCAGAGTACAGAAGGCTTGTGCCGTGCAGCAGGAGATTTCACTCTGAGTTCAGTGTGAACTGAGCTTCAGAAAATATCACTCGGGGATTATTACTGTGTAAATCACACTGTTACCACTTGGTCTGAGAAAATGGGACACATACTGTACATGTTCCATATGGGCTGAGAGGGTTTATGTTTTCCATGAAGCCCAATTGAAGCCCACAGACTAGATGACCATTCCGGCTACAGTAAACAACACTTTCACAGACTGTTAGAATCATTCTTGTAATTTAGTCCAACATTATAATTAACTTTAAAAATCCAGGTTAATCATCACTTCAGTGCCACCTAGCCCACAAATCCCAGGTTGGGTTGCATCAGGAAGGGGATTGGGTGTAAATACTCTGCCACGTCACCATGAAGACTTCTGTGTTGAGACTCATTTCACCAACGTTGTGTGTATTCATTTGTTCATGATTACAATTGAAATGGGCCAGTGGTGTAAAAGCTCTGCTCACGTTCTGGTCTGCTGACTGCTGTGTTCAATCTATAGAAAGTTTTTCATTTATTATTATTATTGATATGTTGTCTAATGACTTCACAGACTTCTGTTAACGACATACTCATTAGAACAACACTATTTAAAATATATATTTGTGTTAAGAACATGCAAAGATTAAAAGTATGAAGAGCACCGTCTTTGTTTTCAGGTATAAATCCCTAAAATTTAGAACTTAGAGCAGCGACGAATCACAATCCCCAAAATTTAGAACTTTTGAGGCAGCGACAAATCACTCCCCAAAATTTAGAACTTTTGAGGCAGTGATGAATTGAAGTCCAGAAGAAACGACACATACTGTATAAATGGACACATTTAGAGAGCGACCCAGAGACAGTTGTGATGTGCGTTCTGCCTCGCTGTGCTTCACTTGATCAATGTCACCACAGATCTACATCTCCCGTACATCAACCGTCTCTCTCTCTCTCTCTCTCACACACACACACACACACACACACACACACACGCACTTACTGCATATGCCTACCACAGACATGCACACAACAAGTCAGAGGGAGCGGAACGTGTGTGGGTCAAGGGGGGATTGAGATCTCTGTTGTGACAGCTGGACAGTCGAGAGGTTCAGATAAACAGCCCACGGAGAGGGGAGACGGGAGGCCAATTGCATTAAAACAAACACTCACTCACTATTTACACACTCCAGCAGATAGGAAAAGGAGGAGCGATATCTGAGGCAGAAGGAGGCGCCCAACTCACAAAAGCACCATTATCTACATGTGTCTGTACGTTTGCGTGTGTGTGCAAGGAAAAGACAGGCAGTTGGGACAGTGGGGGCAGCTGCTGGGGAGGGGAGGGGGGGCATGGGGGGGGG